GGTAGAAAAGGTGTATTTAAAGCCGCTGCAACCCACGATCGGGGCAGTATTGAATTTGGCGAGACAAGCGAAGCTTTGGAGCGAAATAAAGTGAATCAGTGTCATTAATTATAAGCGTTTTTTAAGTTTTAATTGGTGTTCGGTAAGAAAAGTGTAAATTTTGGTAATTCAATCGGCAGTTTTTATTGCCACGAATTTCAAGCTCGTAACAATTGGTGTCAGAAGTGGGATGAAGTCATGCCGATTTTACGTAAGGAGGAAACGGAGGTTGTCCGTACCCGAAGTCAACGCCATCAGGAGACGGACCAAAGAAAATTTAGTGGTGTAACGCCACAGACGTTGGAGTGCCAGCCACGGGCTGCAGGCCCTTCAGTAGCTCCTGCATCTGCAGTACCTGACGTAGGTGCTATGATGGTGATTCACCGGCTCTAGAGGTGGAGAAGCTGGTGCGAAAAGCATACCGGTCTGTACCTACGCTCATTGAAGGGAACCTGGTGCAGATATTCAAGCCCCAAGGATCTCGATCTCACAAGCTAATGATGGGAACAGCCTAATCATCAAGGGCGAGATCAATGGAATGCCGTGTAAACTGACCATACACACTGGAGCCTCTTGCACGGTTGTCAGTTCCCAACTTATAAGACAGTTCCTTGGGGACTCCGCATACAACCGAGAACGCATTAATTTTGTAACAGCCACTGGTCAGCATATACCCGTCCGTGGAGAGAAGGAGATGGAGTTGAAGCTAGGCTACATGATCTACCTGCATAATGTCATCGTGGCTGATATAATGGACGACTGCATCCTGGGCCTAGACTTTATGAGGAATAATTGTTGTGAGATCGACATTAAGTAAGGTGTTTTGAATTGTGGACAGGAGGAAATTTTTATGGAAGGTGCGTTACCAGGGAAAGTGTACAGCATTAAGAAGATTATTCTTCCGCCGAGATCGGAAACGATTGTGCTGGTTAGTCTTCCTCGGAACCCTGGGCAAGCTCACCGTTGTGTACTTGTGGAAAGGGTAAACAATGACCTTCCATGTAAAGTAGCTCGAACCTTGGTCAGAACCACTGACATTTCAGGAGTACGTATGCTGAACCTTTGTAACCAGGAACAGATTATAGAAAAAGGCTCACTGGTTGGTTACGGTTTACGGTTACGGTTGGTTACGTCGGTGCCAATATCTATCGAGTGGAACCCCCAGCAAGGATGCACAAACGAGAGTGACCACACTTTTGGAAGAGTGTCGTACCGTTCTCTCCCCGAACAAAATGGTCAAGGCGAAGAAATTGTTACTCAAGTACGAAAGACTGGCTTAGTTCAACACAAAATAAACACAGGTGAAGAATTGCCTTTCCGTCAGCGGCCAAGAAGATTGCCGGTAGCATGTGAAAAGGAAGTGGAAACCATGATTGAGGGAATGGTGAAGGATGGTGTTATTAAACCTTCTTCTAGTCCATGGTGTTCACCCGTGGTGCTGGTAAAGAAGAAGGATGGCGGCATGCGGTTCTGTGTTGACTACCGCCGTCTGAACGACGTTACTAAGAAGGACAGCTATCCCTTGCCAAGAATTGATGACACGCTGGACATGCTTACAGGAGTAAAGTGGTTTAGCACGCTGGATCTAAAAAGTGGCTACTGGCAAGTTGAAATTGACCCTAAGGACAAGGAGAAAACTGTGTTCTCGACGGGAAAGGGTCTGTAGTAATTTAAAGTAATGCCGTTTGGATTGTGCAATGCTCCAGCAACGTTTGAAAGACTGATGGAGCTTGTACTTACCGGGCTAATTGGCGATGCCTGTCTGATCTACTTGGATGACATCATCGTCGTGGGCCGTACGTTTTAGGAACACCTTCAAAACATGGAACGCGTGCTCATGAAGATTCAGAGTGCCAACCTCAAATTGTGTTCCAAGAAATGTTCACTATTCAAACGGCAAGTCAACTTTTTGGGGTATTTAGTATCGGAAGAAGTTATCCGCACGGATTCGGAGAAAATCGCCGCTGTCAAGGATTGGCCGGTTCTAAAAGACAAGACGCAGGTTAGAGCATTTTTGGGTGTGTGCTCATATTACCGGCGATTTGTGAAGAACTTTGCAGATATAGCCAAACCTCTGCATAAGCTAAACGAGGAGAAGCGACATTTCTTCTGGGATGAAAGTTGCAATATGACATTCCAGGAGCTCAAGTACTGTCTGTGCAAAACACCTATTTTGTGATACCCTGATGCAAGCAAAGAATTTATAGTTGACACAGACGCAAGTGATATAGGACTTGGCGGTGTGTTGTCTCAACGGAATGGTGACCAAGAGGTCGTGATAGCGTACTTCAGCAAGTCGTTGTCAAAACCGGAAAGGAACTATTGTGTCACAAGACACAAATTGCTAGCTGTGGTAAAATCGTTGCAGCATTTTAGCAAATATCTTCTGGGGCGAAAATTTCACTTAAGAACTGACCATGCTGCACTAAAATGGCTATTGCAGTTTAGAATCCAGAAGGACAAGTTGCGAGGTGGATTGAACTACTGCAGGAATACGACTTTGAGATCGAACATCGCAGCGGGAAATCTCACGGCAACGCAGATGCATTGTCAAGAAGACCTTGTCCTGAAGACTGCAAACATTGTACTAGGCAAGAGAGTAAGGAAGTGGTATCCGTAAGGATGCTCAAGACAGACCACCTCAGCAACGAGTGGAAGGACAGCTTACAACATGCACAGCTGGAAGATCCGGACATCAAGCCGATTCTGGAATGGATGAAGGCGAGTGCTCCCAAGCCCAAGTGGAGCGACGTCTCAGCGATGTGTTCGACCTCTAAAAGCTATTATGTCCAATGGGACAGCTTGCTACTACAGGATGGAGTTCTGTACCATAAATGGGAAAATTTTCGGGGAGATAGCTGTCATTTGCAAATCATCATCATCATCATCATTACAGCCCTTCACAAGTCCACTGCTGAACATAGGCGGCCCCCAAGTAATGCCACAAACACGGTCCTGAGCTACCTGCATCCATCAACTTCCTGCATGTCTTACCAGGTCGTCACTCCATCTACACTTCACCTACCGGTACGAGGCTGCCACTGGAGAATCCTTTTTCTCCAACGGTTGTCGGTTCTTCGAGCTATACCATTCTTTTCATTTCGTACATTAATGACATTATGTCAATTCAACTTGAAAATAGTGAGGTTGTATGTTATGCTGACGATACAGCCATAATATTCTATGGTAAATCTTCGTACGACGCCTACCTTTTGGCCATCTCCGGGTTGCATAAATTACAAAAATGGTTAAATAACAACATCTTAACACTGAACACCTCAAAAACGCAGTTAATTTGTTTTCATATAACTGCAGCGTCTGAACCGCCACCCTTACTTTTCAATAGCCTTAAAGTTCACAATAACAACTGTAGTTTTCGCTCCGTGAGCTCTCCAAATTGTAACTGTGACCAGATAAATAGGGTCAGCTCCCTTATATATTTGGGCATTATAATAGATGAAGTTAAGTTCAGTCTGAGTCCACCTGAGTATGCCAAAGGTATACATGAGGACAGGCATGACCCAACCGTTATATGCGTGTGTCTTATTCACACTAGACAAAAGGCTGTTGAGCACTTTGGTCAAGCGTGCTTAAAACACGTCGCAAACTGACTGTTTCATACCAGCCTCATCGATACCGATGTTCCGTGACACACCCAGGTATCGGTATTTTTCAGCCTCGGAAAGTGTCCTTAAACTGATGGCCATAAATAAGTCTATGCCCTCAACCCTTCCCCTTTCAACATGGAGGACCGCACATTTGTCCGTCCCCAGCACCATTCCAATAGAATTGCTAAATTCACAAGTGATGTTTAGCAATTCCACAAGATGGGAGCGACTGGAGGCGAATAACTTGAGGTCATCCATATTAAAAAAGTGTGTCACTTTTGTACCTCATTTTCGAAGCTGAAAACCCCTCCCGGAGCCCTCCAGTAAAGTACTGAGAGGGTTCAAAGAGAGGCAGAACCAGATTGGACTCAGACAATCGCCCTGGAAGATACCCCTTCTTATCCTTATGTGGCTTTCCGCAGCCATCATCCGCTCGCCCAGATGACAAAGGATCGTACTCCACTGCCCATACATTGCTCGAGGAAGTCTCTAACTGCACAGTCTATCTTGTATCTTGACATCACCTGATTTGAGTCCAGGTGACGAGTGATTCGCGCGCTCAAAATGGATGTTAGTGTCTTGTATATGGTCGGTTGACACGTGATGGGGCGGTATTTGCTTGGGTCTGTGGTATCCTGGTCTTTAGGAACCAAATGAGTGATCCCAGTAGTGAAAAGGCTCGGGAGCGACTACTGATTTAGAGCCTCTTGGAACTGTCGGGCAAGCACAGTGTGACCCACCACAAACCCCTTCAGCCAGTAGTGTTGCAGCCCGTCGATTCCCGGACTTTTCCAGTTCGGGGCCCTATGGACTGCCTCGGCTACGTCATCCGGCGTTATAATGACGGGGTCCATGGGCGTAATACTCGCACACTGACTCGCCAGAACTTCCGTCCAAGAGCCCTCGCTGTGGTTTACGGGCTCTGACCACAGGCCGCGCCAAAATGTTACAGTGTCAGCCTGATTCGGTGCTGGGCCCGTTCCACTTGCAATTGGTCGCTCCAATTCATAGAGCCTCTTCTGATCACTCTGGAAGAGACGATTCTTGTTGAACCGAGTCGTTCTCTCGGTATATCGCCAAATCGCTTTCCCGGAGCAGCGATTCTCTGCTTCAGATCATCTATGCGCTCCGTCAGTTTTTGCATTATATCCAGCTGGGACAAACTGACATTTGTCCCAGCAAATGCCATCCTGACGGTGCGCAGAATTCTTGCCCTGTTATTGCCTGATCTGAAGCATATCAGTCTGCCGATGAGAGCTCTAGCCTTTGCGATACGCTCCTCAATTCTTTTTCTCCATGCTGGGATAGCGCTACTTTGGCCAGTAGCACGTCCAGCCGTGGAAACCTTGTCGCCTATGATACGGCAGACTGCCAGCGCGGCGCCAAAAAAATTGAGTCCGTATCGCAAAGGTCCCGGCTGGCGTCCAAATAGGTCACCAGCATTGGGTTCAGAGCCCTCAAGACAGCCCGATTCTGCTTGCTTAGTGCTATGCGGGGAAGTCGCGGTCGATTTTCGAGAGGCGTACTGCGCGTTTCCATAATCGCCTCTTCCAATGTACTCCTCATTTGCTCTATTTCTAGTTCCTGGGCGAATGTTCCATCATCATTTGAATCAGCCACCACTGGGGTATTCACGGCGGTATCCACGTGTGCGGGATGTTCTGCAACTTGTGGCACCGCATCCTCAGCCGTAGCATTTTCATTTGATGAGGGAACAGCCTCACGTCGTAGCCGTTCGAGTTCGGCGTCATCAAATATATTTGAGCGCAAGATGTTTTGCTCGGTGACGGTTACAGATGGCTCTAGCTCAGCTAAAAGTCGATGCATCCTTGCCCGATACGCAAAACCTCCAATTTCTCCCACTATCGCCCTATAATACACCCGCAATGCGTTGCTATTCATTGAGATTGTCCAACGTATGCGGCGTATTCCACCAGTGGCGGGTGCCGATTGCTGGCGCCGCGTAGACCCTGCTGTCACCAAGCCTCCTGGTGGGGATGATGGATGCGAGGGGCTACTAGGTGGTCGAGCAGCACCTCGCGCTCGGCTGGCGGTTCGCATGCTGTCACGTCCAGAGCTAGCTCCAGACGCGCCCCGGCGACCCCCACGCAGCGGCCCTTTGCGAGTTCTATCAAATTCCATCATCTATTTTAATGGGCGTCAGTCAACGGGAGGCGCCCAGACCCGGCGCCGTTTCATGGTGAGGCCATGTGCACAAGCGGGCCTTTGCACCTTCAACTTATGCCGAGGCAAGGCACTAACACCACTTGGCAAGGTGCTGACTGACTGAATTATTATTATTATGTGGGGTATCTATATAGTTTTCTCATCTGGTTGGGTCTTTTAAAAATATTATTATAAATTAAAATGAAAAGATAAATATACATAAATATAATTAAAATAAAATAAATACAAAAATACATAAATAAATAAAAGCCTAACCAGATGGAAGCCCTCGGCAAGGGAGACCAAACGGCTGAGGGTCAGGAGGGAAAGAAACCGGAGGACGATGCGGGCGGTATCGAGGAGCACCGTCTTCTGCATTTGAGCTCGGAGCGGTCCGTCATGGAGTCCCAGTCGCCTCAGATGACCCGAGAGGCTGACTGGGATTAGCCCATTCGCAGAGACGACTACAGGAATAATTTCGGCCGGCATACCACCCATGTCGGTCACCTCGTGAGCCAGGTCCAGATATTTTGTTAGTTTATCTGTTTCGGCTTTCACGAGGTTCTCGTCATACGGAATGGTAATGTCGACCAAAAATATCCTTGACTGTGCCCGGTCCATCAGCACAATATCAGGCTTATTCGCAAGAATAGTCCTGTCCGTGATGATGGCCCGGTCCCAGTAGAGCCTGGCGCGGTCATTTCCGAAAATTATTGTTATTATTATTATGTGGGGTATCTATATAGTTTTCTCATCTGGTTGGGTTCAATAAATATATAATTATAAATTGAAATGAAAAGATAAATATACATAAATATAATTAAAATAAAATAAATACAAAAATACATAAATAAATAAAAGCCCAACCAGATGGAAGCCCTCGACAGGGGAGACCAAGCGGCTGAGGGTTAGGAGGAAAGGGAAAGAAACCGGCGGACGATGCGGGCGGTATCGAGGAGCACCGCCTTCTGTATTTGAGCCCGGAGCGGTCCGTCACGGAGTCCCAGTCGCCTCAGATGACCCGAGAGGCTGACTGGGATTAGCCCATTTGCAGAGACGACTACAGGAATAATTTCGGCCGGCATACCATCCTACATTTCGGTCACCTCGTGAGCCAGATCAAGATATTTTGTTAGTTTATCTGTTTCGGCTTTCACGAGGTTCTCGTCATACGGAATGGTAATGTCGACCAAAAATATCCTTGACTGTGTCCGGTCCATCAGCACAATATCAGGCTTATTCGCAAGAATAGTCCTGTCCGTGATGATGGCCCTGTCCCAGTAGAGCCTGGCGCGGTCAATTTCGAGCACGGCTGCCGGCAAGTACTTGTAATACGGCAATTTCCGGTCCACGAGACCGTATTTCAGAGCGAGCTCCTGGTGAAGAATTCTAGCTACTAGGTTATACCTGTGCAAGTACTCAGAGTTAGAAAGCGCCGAACAACCGGGGATGACATGCCTAAGTGACTCCCCGGCATGGCGACAAGCTCGACAGACGTCTCCGATAGTTGTTGGTCTTAATAACCTGATCCTGTATTGCACAGACAAAACCCTCGGTTTCCCCGAAGAGGTCACCGAAACGTAGCCAGTTGAGGGAGGCGGCTGTATCTACGTGGGGCTCATATGAACCCTTTAGTACCTCCCGTGGAGCTTCTTCTCCTTCCATACAGTCTCCCGGTCGGAAATGCTCTGTACTGCCGGGTCCTGGCATTGCTCGTTGGATAAGGATAGAGTGGTAAGTCCTTTATCACTAGAAATGACGTCCTTATAGAATGGATCATTCTATCTCGCCGAGAAGTAATCACGGAGGCTGCACACTTCGCGATTATGCATGGTGAGCGCACTCAAGAAGCCACGCCCAACATGCTTTCGCGGCAAGTACAGCCTCATTACCGACGATCTCGGATGATGCATCCTATGGGACGTCGTTATAGTGCGAACTTTTCTATCCAGGGCATTTAGTTCAGTCTGAGTCCACCTGATTATGCCAAAGGTGTCCATCAGGACAGGCATGACCCAGCCGTTATATGCGTGTGTCTCATTCACACCGGACAAAAGGCTGTTAAGCACTTTGGTCAAGCGTGCATAAAACATTTCGCAAACTGACTGTTTTATACCAGCCTCATCGATACCGATGACATACCCAGGTATCGGTATGTTTCAACCTCGGAAAGGGTCCTTAAGTTGACGGGCATAGATAAGTCTATGCCCTCAGATTTAGCAACCCTTCCCCTTTCAACTTGGAGGACCGTACACTTATCCGTCCCCAGCTCCATTCTAATAGAATTGCTAAATTCACAAGTGATGTTTAGCAATTCCATAAGATGGGAGCGACTGGAGGCGAATAATTTGAGTTCATCCATATAGAAAAGGTGGGTCACTTTTGTACCTCCTTTCCGAAGCTGAAATCCCCGCCCGGAGCCCTCCAGTAAAGTACCGAGAGGGTTCAAAGAGAGGCAGAACCAGATTGGACTCAGACAGTCGCCCTGAAATATACCCCTTCTTATCCTTATGCGGCTTTCTGCAGCCGTCATCCGCTCGCCTAGATGACAGAGGATCGTACTCCACTGCCCCATACACTGCTCGAGGAAGTCTCTAACTGTACAGTCAATCTTGTACAGCTCGAGGACCCTCTTTACCCATGTATGGGGCACCGAGTCAAATGCCTTTCTGTAATCTATCCAGGCGGCGAAGAAGTTCCGACGGTTGCGTTTCACCACTTTTACAATGACCGCGTCAATGAGGAGTGGTTCCTTGGTTCCACGATCGCCGCCCCGACATCCATTTTGAGGGCGCGACATCACCTGATTTGAGTCCAAGTGACGAGTGATTCTCGCGCTCAAAATGGATGTTAGAGTCTTGTATATGGTCGGTAGACACATGATGGGGCGGTATTTGCTCGGGTCTGTGGCACCCTGATCTTTAGGAACCAAATGAGTGATCCCAGTAGTGAAGAGGGTGGGGAGCGACTTCTGGTTGAGAGCCTCCTGAAACTGTCGAGCGACCACAGCATGACACACCATGAACCCCTTCAGCCAGTAGTGATGCAGCCCGTCAAGCCCCGGACTTTTCCAGTTCGTGGCCCTAAGGATCGCCTCAGCTACGTCATCCGGCGTTATGATGACGGGGTCCATGTGCGTAATACCTGACTCGCCACAAGCTGCGCTAATATGCGGTTTACGGGCTCTGACCACAAGCTGCGCGAGATGCGACCGTGTCGGCCTGATTCGGTACTGGGCCCGTTCCACGTACCATTGGTCGCTTCAATGATTTATAGAGCCTCTTCTGATCACTCTGGAAGAGACGATTCTGGTTGAACCGTGTCGACCTCTCGGTATATCGCTGAATCCGCTTTCCCCAAGCAGCGATTCTCTGATTCAGGTCGTCTATGCGCTCCGTCAGTTTTTGCATTATATCCGGCTGGGACAAGCCAACATTTGTCCCAGCAAACGCCATCCTGATGGTGCACACAATCCTTGGCCTGGTATTGCCTGACCTGAAGCACATCAGTCTGCCGATGAGGGCCCTAGCCTTTGCGATACGTTCTTCAATTCTTGTTCTTCAGGCTGGGATAGAACTACTTTGTCCAGTAGTGCGTCCAGCCGTGGAAAGTTTGGCGCCTATAATACGGCAGACTGCCAGTGCGGCGCCAAAGAGAATTGAGTCCGTCTCGCAAAGGTCCCGGCTGGGCTTCTAAATAGGTCACCAGCATTGGGTTCAGAGCCCTCACGATAGCCCGATTCCGCCGCTGAGGGCTATGCGGGGAAGTCGCGGTCGATTTTCGAGAGGCGTACTGCGCGTTTCCAAAATCGCCTCATCCAATACTCATTTGCTCCAGTTCCAGTTCCTGGGCGACAGTTCCATCATCGTTTGAATCAACCAAAACTTGGGTATTCACGGCGGCATCCACGTTTGCCGGTTGCTCCGCAAGTTGTGGCGCCGCATCCTCAGCCGTAGCATTTTCATCCGATGAAGGAACAGCCTCACGTCGTAGCCGTTCGAGTTCGGTGAAATCAACTATGAATCCACATATGCCAGGCAAAGTTGCAGAATTTACTCTTCGGTTTATTGTACAATCTACGGCAGGGTATGTATGTGGTCTATGGTACTGAAGCCTTTTCGAAAACTGGCTTGTTCGGGAGGCTGAAAGTCGTCGAGTCTGCGTGCGAGACGATTCGTAATGACTCTCGAAAACAGCACGTAGACGCGGCTCAGAAGGGAAATCAGTCTGTAGTTCTTCAAGAGAGCGTTGTAGCCTTTCTTAAAGAACAAGACCACCGCATTTCTGCTCCACGCCTCCGGAGTAGTGCCACCATGGAAGACAAAATTGAAGAGCTTCTGAAGGACTTCAAGTACCGGTGTTCTTGAAGTCCTTCAGAAGCTCTTCAATTTCGTCCTAAAAAGAAGCTCCTCTGTAATTCCATCCTCGCCTGGGGCTTCGCCGTTTTTACGTGCTGGAGAGCCATTCTAATCTGGATCAGACTGACGTCTGAGATATCATCGGAATAATGTCGTATAAGACTTGCTCTAGGATCGTTACTCACACTTGCGTGTGGCTCCAAAGATGATGTGTACGGCTGCCCATAGAACCTCTCAATCTCACTCAAAATCTCAGATGTCCTAGAAACGATGCTGCCACACTCAGTTTTCAGCTTTGACAGT